TTGATAAACAAAAACAGAAATTATTTATGACTCAACCTAAAATTTATGAAGACTAGATTCCAAAATCCATAGAAAACTTTTTCAAATCAAAATATTCAGAATTTTACTTATTTTGTCAATTTGTCGTCATCTCTGCTGCTATCACAACATTTCAGCATTTGCGCTCTCTGGCCTTCCTCAGGTATATATTAATCTGGGTAACCTACAGCGAATTCAGAACTGAACCCTTTATTTAAGTATTATAAAAAAAAAAAAAAAGAAAGAATTGTCAAAAACATTTTCAAATCAAAACCTCCAGAACTTTACTCAAAACATCTCAAAGAGTTGCATGACAAGTAGCAAGAAGTCATAGCAAATAATAGTGAATAGATAATTCAATAAAATACAATTGTACTTTATCTTTTGAAGAATGTAGTTGATAATAGCTTAACAGATTAGACATTGAACAATGGAGAGGAAAATAATTTCCAAAATTTGGCTGTCAACTAGATTGACAACGAGATCTGATCATTTTACTGTTGAACTAACTAGATGTAATTGTATGTTCTATTGCAATAGTTTCTTTTCACGCACTTTTTGTCTCAGGAATTTTCTTCCAGTTTCTTGCTTCCCTGCAATGTACAATCTTCAAAAATTTAAATGCAATGCCAATCATCATCTTATATTTCCCTGAATCCTGTTCTTTTATTGTCCTTTTCTCTTTACTAAAGTCTTTTCATTCTCTTTTACTCCCAGTAGCCTCTTGTGTCTTAGTGGTATTATCATCTTGCTTAGGGTGAAATGATTAAAAGAATTGTTTGTCAAGAATTTTTTCAAATCAAAACCTGCAGAATTTTACTCAAAATGTATCAGACAGCTGATTGATGAGTAGCAAGAAGTCATTGCAAATAATGGTGAATATATAATTCAATAAAATTCAATTGTACTTTATCTTTTGAAGAATAAAGTTGATAAACAAAAATGAAAATTATTTGACTTGTGCTAATATATTATTTATAGGTATTATTTTATACAATCAACATTTATATTTTGTAAAGCAGACTTGTATCTTATTGTAAAGTTAGGTGGTTATCCTTGTCGTTGCAGCATTTCTGCTCAGCCACGATGTTGCCAACCACATAATCTCTGACTCTCCACAGATTTAAACTCACCCCCTCCTACAAACCCTGCCAGGAATTGAACCTATTAATCTCTATTTCTTGATAGCCTTGACAGATACACTTGATTGATGGCTTGGATGCTTTCGCCCCTTGCTTCTGCCCAAAACTGCTAGATGGACGTGAGAAACAGGCCACTTGAAAATGATAGGATGATTACACTGTTCAAATCCTTGGGGGAGAATGCAAGGGAGAAAACGCAAATGTGGCAATGATGATGTGTAGGGGTTGGGGTCTGGGATGGTATTGGGTAAGATAAGGGAGTGGAGATGAAAGTGGCAGTGGGGGTAATGGAAAACCAAACTGTAAACACCAATATTCTATATCGTTTGAATTAATCATTGCAGCTTATTGGCTCAATATGCAGAATACAAGCAGAACATCAGAGGAAAAACTGCAACAAAAAAAAAAAAAAGCTATGCAATGCTTTTTACATGTTATTTTTTTTTATGTGTAAGCCTGTATTTTTTTTTGTTAAGTTTGTTTGTTTTCATAATGGAACCAGACAAGATCACTTATAAAGATTGTGGCTGTTACAGTAAAGAGAATTACTCTGTGGTAAGTGATTTTTTTTCTATTGATTAGGAGACCAAAGAGATGGATGATATTAAAAACTTAGCACAGGCCTCCAGGAATTTCAAGAAAACAATTTATCTCCATATCTTTCTTGGTTGCTTATCGTAGTTTATAGTGAGCAAGTTACAAACTATCTTTGAACCTCATGGACTGGTAATATATAGAATCACAAGGAACTATACCAAATAATAAAGACCACATCATTTGAGGACTTCCAAAAGAAGCAAAAACTAAAATGAATAGTATATGTAACTTAAACAGAAAATAATGACATAATCAAGATGCTGAGGTTCCACACAACCTTAAGCAAAAGACAAGGAAGGAAGAAAAAGATCTGTCTATATTTCTGAGATGAGGTATAATGTACACTATAGTCCGAGCAATGTAAATAGTGAAGAAAAAGACTTTATGAATTTCAACTGAAAGTAATACTGGCTACTCAGTCAATGAATGTTGAAAGTTTCTTTGTAAGGAAATGGTTAATATTACCATTACCACAATTACTGGATGCCATACTACCATGTCTTTATAACAGATGAAGCTAAACATCATTAACTTTTATATTAATAAGCAAAACGATTGAATTCTTCAATCTTTAAAAATGGAGGTGAGAAATTCACTGAATTAAAAAAAAAATAGAATACTATGTTTAGATTGCAAGAAAAATGATCGGAAAATTTTTTCTTGCATATATTTTGGAAATGTTTTTTTTTCAAACAAAATTATCAAACAAAAGATGACAGTAAATTCAAAAGTCATTTTAATTTACACTACCTCAAACAAAAGTCAAAGGAGGAAGCACCCATCCATAGTGGAAGGAGCAATAACAGCGACTGGACTTGAGAAGCCTATTTTCCTGAAAAAATTGCTTTAATAGAAAGATTTTATAAACTTCAACTAACATTAGCACTGGCTGCTCAGGTCATAGAATGTCAAATGTTCCCAAATAAGGAAATGGTTAATATTACCATTACTACTGTCATAGGGAGTCTAAATCCTACCAGTGGCCCACATTTGTAGCCTAGATAAAGCTAAGATCAATAAATATAAAACTGGCTCTTTTTTATGTATGGTGCAAGATATAAGATTTGTTTTCCTTTTTTTTACTTATTTAGTACCATATTAGTGTGAAAAATTGATTGACAGATCACATCTTCCAGATAGGTAAAATTTAAATTTTTATTATTACATTATTCCAAAATGTTAACACATCAGCAGATAGCTATTAATGTCAACAACTGAGCACAAATAGTTATTAATTAAAAAAATTAGTAATTAATATAAAATATTATCCATGACTACATGTAGAATAATGTCGTTTTTTGATAAAAGTTAAAAAATAGCCATAAATACATAAAAAATGCATATATTGTCAAAAATTCATTTTTCTACAGTATAGGTATTTGTGCTATTTATAGTGCTTATTACTCAAGCAATAATAATACTGAATAAGTTTTTTTAAACATTAAAGTCACAATCTATGCAATTAAAGTATTTTATCTACACTTTTCACTTCTTGGATAGGTCTGGGTTGGAAGCTTTTTCAACTTTTATATTTTAAAAGTTCTGTTTAACTGAAAAACATTATTTTTTAAAAGAAGATCTAAAAAAAAGTTTAAAAACTGACCATATTATTTTTTTTCTGTCTTTTTTCTCTTGAACTTGTATATATTCAGATATGTAGAAGTGTATGCAGCATGCTGGTTGCTGACATAGAAAGTAGCATATGTTATAAACTGTTAGCACAGAACTTATGGCTAGATGTAGACTTAAGTCCTATGCTAACAGTTTCTTCTCACACACTTCTTGTTTGCAAAACACTCTTCCAGATTATTGCTTTCCAGTCAACTTTGATCATCAGAAACTTAAATGCAATCTCCATGCAATCTATTGGATTATTGTCCCTGATGATAATCACAAACAGTGAGATTTTGAATTACCACCTCCTGCTGATAATTACAGGTAGTGCAAGATTTGAAAAAATCCATCTCTTCCTCTGTGACTTTTCATAGTGAAAAGATATCTTCTTTTCATTCCACAAAAATGTAAGTACCTCAACTGCAGATACTGAACTCTTCACATTTAATTTCATTTCTCATATTTCCTTTTGTAAAATGTCTTATCAATATATTTGTTAAAATTTCTTTGTTTAAATTCTATGTCTTATGATAAAAAAGACAAAAATTGTTTGTGGGTCAAATGTACTAAAAGGATAAGAGTCTCATGAGAAGTGTTGAAGCCCGCAACAAATCCGTTTAATTCCTGTTCTTTTATCATTCTCTCTCCTTAATGTTTTTTTTCTCATATTCTCTCACACTCAGTAACCACTTGCATCTTTAGTGACTTTATTGCCTTTTGTGAGGTGAAATGATTTAAAAAAAAAAAAAAATTTACCAGCATACTGAGTTCAGATTCTTACTGGGTTCATTATGTTCACTTTCTGTCATAAAGGAACAAAATGAATATATACTTTCCACCAGGTATATAAATAGAGGTGTCAGGTTACTGACTGCTGTGACTATTGAGTGGGACTATCCAATTAGTGGGAATTATTGTGTGTCAGTGATTTGGGTTTTGATTTAGAATTTACCAGATGTTAAGCCAAGCCATGCTACTAACAAGGTATTCACTGAAATGGTTAATTGTCTTTGGTTGACTTTTACTTTTTTGTTCTTGTTAAGTATTTATTTGCTGTTGTAATTAAATACTGTTTTATTTAACATTGAAGTCTTGAATTATACTTAATTATTAATGGCCACCATACGTCAAAAAACTTTCACACAAATATCCTTAGGAAAGGTAAGAATCCATGTCTAATACCCACCAGCTAAGGAGTAATAACATAGCAGACTGGCTTCTCTAGCTATGATTAGTTACTAGTTTAGGAGAAGCATAATGCTAAATGCAAAACTGTTTCAGTATGGGACAAAAAAAATACACTCCATAAATCTTACTTGCTATGGAAACTATAGCAACAACATGAAGGTTATTTGTGTTTAGCAGCATATCAGCCTCTGTATTATTTAATGTTGAAATCAAAATATTTTGTACAGAATTCTATTTTATTTACTTATTTTTAGATAATAATGGTTTAGCACTACAATGCTTACTAATTAACCCATAGCTGGGAGTAGAAGAGATGGATTTATACCTTACCTAAGAATATTTGAGTGTAAGTGAATATAACGAACCTAGCTGAAATTGGAACTTGAATCTCTCATTAAAAATTCTGAGCTATTATCCATTACACCACCCACAAATCCAAGTTTACAACACCTGTTATACCCAAGTGATCACCCATCTAGGTACTGATCAGACTCAATGTTGCTTAACTTTAGTGATCATATGAGAATCGGTGTTTCAATGTGATGTAGCCATTAGCCAGCATGTTAAGTATGTGGCCCCATACTCAGTAAGGAGTAAGAAGTACTCCTCTATCTCTCTTATAGATCATGAAATTTTATTAACAAATGTATATGTCAGCTTTTATCATACACTTGTATTTAATACATATATATTTAAATTAAAATTATAACACTTCTAAAAAAATTCCAGGTTGAAATTAAAACTTTTCTCTGTTGTAATTTATAACATAAATGCTACTGATAATGACTAGGAAAAGTTGAAAGTACTCGAAACATCATGAGCTTTGTAAAGTATAATAAAAAAATGAAACAGTCAAACTTTGTTGATCAATTTCAATAAAAAAGCATACTTGAATTCCTGTATTCAGGGCAGCAGGGAAAAAGATTGTCATGAAAATATTTGTAGAAAAGACAGAGGAAGACATGTCACATCGGTGAGAAAGTGACTGAAGTTGAGATGCCAAGTCAGGATCAGTTACATTACAGGTCCTTCTTTAGATTTTGTCAAGAATCTCAAGATGTACAGCAGGAGCACCAGACCAGATATATAAAAATTAATGCATGATGAAATGGTAGATTTGTAAACATGCAAGATGGATTTCTGGTACGACACAGTGACCCACCTTTCTTTGCAGAAGTTGCAGCTATTGATATAATGTTGTCACTCCAAATGAGGCCAAGAAGGCAGTGTGTGTTGTTTTCCAGGAGTCTAGTGTCAGCCTTGCTGATGGCAGACAGAAAAGGTTCTCTATGGTAGTTAATGAAAGCCATTTAAATTAATTAAAAATTTTTTTTTAAATTCTCTTGTTTGATCATATTTTGAGAAGTGCCCAAAAATTATCAGCACCCCTACACATAAAAATAAATAAAATTAAATATTGATTTATTTTGTCTGTACTCTTTTATAGAAATTACATTTGCTCTTCAGAAGATTTGATATTTTACAATCAAGTCGCCTGAAAAGTGGACATAATTTCCACAAAACTCTGAGTAGGGCCATATATATATATATATATATATATATATAGGCATAGGGAATTATAGATAGACACTCCAGCAATCACTCTGTCCACTCGTCACTGGAAACCTTCTGACGAGTAAACTAAACAATTTCAAAAGGTTCGTCTATGAAACTCTGTATTAATTAGTGAGACTTGTGTTGCTGAACCATTATTATTTCCAAAAGTAAAAAAAATTTGAGTGAAAAATATTTGGATCTTGGCATTAAATAATCTGCAAATGATTGATATGCCACAACACAAAAAAAACAACCAACAACTTCCCAAAAAGCATCAGATTTTGGCAGAAAGAACATTTTAACAGCCTCTTTTGTATATGAATTTCAACAGAAAAATCAAAGTTGAAAATTCTAATAGGTTACCAAATATTCCATGTAACTTTTTAAAGTTTAAAATACACTATTTAATTCTCCACAGGGTTAGTGAAATAAAACATGATTATAAGTAAATGATAATAATAAGGTAAATAATAATGTAATAATGTAACGTGATATTGGATCATTATGCATAAAAAGATAATATATACAACATTATTAATCTTATTTATCTCACAAAATTCAGAAAAGAAAGCCATCTTAAGAAAAGACAGATGCTAAAAGATGTTTATAATGAATTATCAGCCAAACATTGCATAAAAAATGAAATTTATAAACTAGTGACAATCATTTATCTTAAAAGGAAAAATGTTACTTCATAAGAGAAAAAACAAGAATCAATAACACAATTTATCATATTTCATCAGAAGCACCTGTATTGTTCAGAAGATAAAAATCTTTATAAAAATATTTTTATACATTTGGAAATTACTTAAGGAAGAAAATGTCAATTATGTTGGCACCTTCTTTTATAAAATTTGCTGAAATTATCCAGTAATAAAATCCTGGTTATTTAGATCAAAATTCTTTATCTGTAGTGTTAATTATATGATTAGAGCTACATAGTTCTTGAACTCCTGCCAACAGATTCTTTTAAATAATTTTTCAATTGCTGTATTTGCTGGCTGATTGGAAACAGATTTTTTGAACATTTAAAACAATTATTTGCTATTAAATAAAATTATTTTACAAGTTTTTTTTTTGTTTTTTTTTTTAAATTTTTGTAGTAATTTTTGGTCTTTCATTGAATTAAAATATACATGCACAAACATACATTCACACCCAATTCTAATTACCATATTGGACACTGATTTTTTTTTCTCCAAAATATGCACAAAAAATTACCCTGCATCTAGTATCATGTATGAGAGGGACATGAAGACCATGAAAAAAAAAAAAAAGTGGGGTTTGCCAGGAATCAGTGTACACATAGAGCTTAGCTCTGAAACTAGGACTTCTGAAAGTGAACAAACATGATATCAATAAAAAATATCCCTGAAAAATTCACCCAGGAAAAAGAAATTCATGGAATTGCACAACATTTTCTGCTTGTTTTGTAGAAATACCAGATTTTACAGAAATATTTGATTTAACTGGTATATTGCTACCTGCTTTGTGTGTGTTTTTGTTGATATATAGGTATTGGAATTTGCATTTCTGCATGTATCATTTGAAACTTCATTCACCAACAAGTATCATATTTTTGTTTTTCGGCCTATTACCATATGTACCAGTGTTCATTGATACCAATAGATTTCTTTGTAGCTATTATGAATTTACTGTATGTGTAGATGTTGCTCTCTGAAAAACAACTAAAACAAGTTCAATAAATGTATGATGAAATTTTCCCAAAAATGTCCTGGCAATTAAACCTTACTTCACTTCTATTTAAAAAAAGTACCAGTAGTATAATTTGTACTAATACTGTATGTGTTTCTTCAGGTTTAGTGAGAATGTCACATAAAGGTAAGATTATAATTTTGATTTTTTTGTTTTTTCCTAAATATTCCATGCCAAAATCTAGGTGCATCCAATCAGTGGGTATTTAAAATATGGTAAATTATTTTCTTAAGAAGTCTAAAATTTGTTACTTCCACTTTGCATCTTTAAATAAAAGAGGAACTGTCTCTCCAGTTCTTGGTACTTGAACTGATCCAACACGCTACCATAATTTTCAGTGATTCTATTTAACTTTCACCTTTTCCTGGAAGATGCATTTCAATTTTATTATTATTCATTTCACCCCAAACCAGGCAATAAAAATCACTAGGAGGCCATTAGGTGCCATATGTGATGCATGCTTAGGTGATAATCTGTTTTCAGTTCATGATTGGCTTAGGTGATCAACTGCTTTAAGTTCATGATTCATCAAGGTGATCATCTGTTTTCAATTCATTACTGACTTAGGCAATCATCTCTTTTCTCACAGTAGGTTGTCATTACTTTCTACATTTAAATGATTGCCAAAAAAGGCAATAGAACCCATTCTGTTTTGTTATTTAACTCAAAGATGGGGGGGAGAAGAGAGGAATTCACACTATTATGTTCATAAAAAAATAAATAAAAATTACTTTGTGAAAAATAATTATAATAATTATAGCAAATATAATGATCATTAATTCATTCATTCTAAACCATGATAATTAAGCCTACTTTTCTCCTCTACACACAAACACATGATATTCTCACTATTGGACAAGCAATTCACACAGACATGTCATTAATATGTGCATCAACAAAAGTTTTGTCACCTTTTCATTTTCATGCCATAATAGTAACCTTTATCTTTTTGTACTCAACAAAAATTTGAGGTAAGAAAACCCCAGCCATTTCTATATACTTTTTTCATCTAAATTATCTGGACCTTCATTACACACATCTAGAAAAAAAATGAGAAAGACTGTATACCCTTTGCTTATTCTCATTGTCAGATTTCGATCCATATTTGATCTACATTTGACTAAAAACTTACCATTTTAATAAATATTACTGTCTCTTGTTTCTCCAATACTACATAATATCCAGATAATAACTAATTACTTGTTTTGTTGTTTTTATGTCTTACTGCTTCTCATATTTACAAGTATTTTTGTATATGTAAATGTTAGGGGTTTATAATTAACAGTATAAGATATGCAGATGACATAGTGTTGATAATAGACACGGAAAGAAAACTACAAATGCTCCTATTGAAGGGAGTGAATGGAAGCAAGAAGAAAGGACTAAACATAAATTGCAAGAAGACAGCATGCATGGTTATTAGCAAAAGGATAAGCCCAAAATACAAGTTACAAATCAGAGGTACCAAAATCAACCAAGTACAAAAATTTTAATATCTGGGAAATGTTCTAACAAAGGATGAAAAATGTGACACTAAAATCCAAATAAGGATTGGGATAGCCAAAGATGCATTCCAAAAGCTAAGCAGTGTATTAAGAAATAGAAAAACTTTGTTAGAAACAAAGAAAAGAAGAAACAGAAATGTGGTTGTGCAGAAATATGCTGAGGATACTACGGACTGAACATGTGAGCAACAACAAGGTTTTAGGGAAAATAGATACAAAAAGAAAACTTATACTTAACATCAGAAAGAGACATTTGAATTTCTGGAACATGTAATGAAGAAGGAGGGATTGGAAAATATGATATTCACAGGACAGATTGAGGGCAAGTGTGACAGGAAAACAATGAATTTGACAAGCTTGAGAAAATGGATGGCAAAACAGGGTTTAGAAATAAAGAAAAGACAGAATTTATTTCGAGTTGCAAGTGATAGGAAATTGTGAAGAGCCATGATTGCCTGCATGCTGAGGGGACATGGCATATAAAAAAGAAGTAGTCAAGAGTTAGTCTATGCTCCTGCTGGTTTTGTCACTGGTCCAAAACATCACTATTGATGGAAGCACTTTGAAGTTGCTGATGATGACCTGGGCATTTGTGTAGTCTCTTGTGTCATGTGGGTCTATTGCTAATGTGTGCTGGTTCGGTTTTGATTTTTATGGATGAAATCAGTGTTGACTTTATAGAGGGTCAGTGGATCAGCATTGGCTCTCTTGGGAACCACATGAGCCTTATTTTGATTGCTCAGAAAAGATGATTTATGATCCTGGTAT